ATAAAGGTAATTTCTCCAAAAATTAGTTTATTTGCATGTCATAATCTCAAAACAGTTTGCAATTCAGTCTTTTTTACTCTTTCCATTATATCAGCAAAATCAGGTAGTTCAGGAGAGATTGGAAGGTAACATCTGCCTAACTCCCATTTTTCTTACCACTCCTAGCATGATCTTACTGGATATTTATTGGTAGATTAATGAGGAAACGAATAAAAATTGTTAGGACTGGTATATGGACAACTACCCTTTTCACTGAACGGTACCTTATTAAGTAGTTTAAGGAAAAAAGGTGACTTTTGCCCACTACTGAAGAAATTTGATCCAGAGAAGAGTGACTAAGATTAAAGTCTGCAAAAAAGACTTAAGAGGTTCATTGATGTTATTTACTTGGTAAAAGATACAGCAGAAGAGCAGCTTACTGCAGCCAAGTACATGAGTCAGTGATGCCTTTGCAGTAGCCAGAGGAGGCGCAGTAGCCAGAGGAGGTTGATTGAAGTAGGAATAGAAGCCCTTCCCCATGGGCCAGTAGGAGCAGTGAGGGCAGTGCTAACACTGACTGAACGCAGGGACGTAGTGAACTCTCCTGCTGCTTAAAAACAGAGAAGACAGGTATGCACATTCAAGTCGGAAGCTAAGCTCACTGGCTCGGCAGCACCACGCGCAGCTGTTAGAGTTTTGAAAACCTACGTGTAGTGTTTCTTGGTTACCTATTGCTACCTAACAAATTATCACACACTTAGCAGCTTAAGGCAACACACCTTTATTACCTCAGTCGCTCTGTTCTCATCTGTAGTCTCATCTAGGGGACATCTGCTTCCTTGCTTGGTGTTTATCATTAGCATTCAGTTCCTTACAAGGACCTGGAGTCCATGTCCAAGTCACAGCCAGAGCCTAAGACTCAGAGAGCATCAGAAACAGCCCCCGGTGGGGCTCCGGGCAGGCAGAGGGCAGCAGGAGCTGCAGGCGGTGATCACGTGTCATTGGCAGCCCCACCGCGTCTTCTCGGTGTAGGCTGTGGGCGGAACAGTGGCTGATGCTCGCGGTGGTTGAGAATCCTCACTGAAATTCCCATAAACATCCGATAGCAGCCTTCTCAGATTATGCCCAAGTTAACACTAAGGGAAAAGTGTAAGGATCTGCCTCTATTAAAATGCTCACTTAATGGCTTCAGGGAAAGTCAGTGATCTGTCCCTTATTTACAGCATCTAAAAACCTTTATTATTATTAGAATATTAGTAATATTAAAGTATTTCGTTCCTTTTGTGTTGTATTAGCAGCTTTATACCTTAGCCCAAAGAACTATTTAATCTTATTTTCAGAAATATAAAATCAAGTTTTAATCAATAATTCAATTGTTTCTGGTTTTATAGGTTTATAAAAAACATTATGGACTGAATATTTTCAGTTTTATACGCAAGATGATGATCAGTGGAATTAAATAATTGAAGTATAAATGAAGATATATTTTTTAAAAAAGGAAACCTTTGTACAGATTGTTGGATCCACAGAAGCACTGCTCCAGAGCTGGAAGATGCCTTAATCTTAAATGAGCCCACTTGTTCAACACTGACTTACAGCTACAAAAGTGACTTAATTTTACTTTGGAAATAACATTTACTCATAATAATGTATTATGATATGCTATAATATGAGCTGTCAGGTCACATGTTAACATGGCGTATGTATTCTTTTGATACCTGAGTTACATTATTAGAGTTCTTAGTATCCATATAAATTTTCACTCCAGAAACACAAGGTAGAAAACTTGTTTTAAGTGAAGTACATCTAGGTCAGTATGGTGGCTGAGAGCGCTTGTACTATGTAAGAAAAAGAAAATAATTGCTTTAAAAACAACTTGGTGTTTGCTAATTTATAGTTACTGTTTTATACTTTTCAACATTTTTACTAAAGATTTTTTTTATTGTTGCTATAAAATAACACTCAGAAGGATTTAGATACCTAATCATTTAAAACATGGAGCATATTTGTATAATTCATTGAAGGCTTAGTTCTAAGCATTAATTAAACCATGTGCAGTGTTGTGCCCAAGGCTTAAAGAAAATTTGGCAGTATAAGAAATTTTTTTGTTTCTCTTTGCTTTCAATATACTCTTGTTGAACTGTCATGGGTATTTATACAGGTAGGGAAACAAAGGTTACGTGTGCTGTAGAAATACTGGACACAGTAGGATTGGGTAGAAGTGGCTAGAAGAAAAATAAAGCGAAAGACAAGCTACAGAAAGCTGTTAAAGTATGTTTTCAGAGTGCTGCCTGCTGCTGAGCTGACTCTCAAATTTCAATTTAGGTAATGACCGAAATTTGCTTTGAAACTTTTTACAGTAATCCTATAGTAGCTTAAACAGCAACATAAAATACAATTTGAACTAGGGTCAAACTGTTTAGCATAACACTGCTCTCGAGAAGGAAATTCTCACTTGAGTATCATTCAAAGCTTCCATTCTCTGAGAGGTGGATTCCACTCTTACATGCAGGATTTTAAATCTGACTTCCTAACAGCAACCCCTTTCTGCCTAGACACTTATCCCCCTCTTCCTTTTGAAATCCAATCTAAGTGACAGGGATCGTTGCATTAATTCTAAAGAAAAATAGTGTCCTATAGCGGAGAAACAATATACAGATGTTACTCCTCCTTTATACTCTGCTTAGTCAGACACACACAAGCTAAAATGACCGATTGCTTCCAGTAGTGGGTGGAGATCAGTTTTAACCAGCGTCTGTAAAAACATGTTATAGTTTCCTTGTCTATAAAATGGGGTTGGGGAGAGGGGTGTTAAGAATGATTTTGACTTGACTATCTTTAACATTCTTCAATTTCTAATTTTGCATAATACCTTACTTAACATTCGTCCAACAGGTATATTTGGAGTTCCTTCTGGACGCCAAATATACTAGGGATAGCTCTATAATCTAATGTAGCATAAATTTTATAGCCTACTATTCCAGGTTTATAATTTATAGGATTTGTCTAATTCCATGGGCTATATTAATATTAGATGTTAAAAGCAAGTAATTTTTTCCCCCTTTGAACTAGAGGAATGAGTTTAGCTTTGAAAATATAGTTTGGAATACTATAATACAGTTTCTACCTTTATTTCAACACTGTAGTCTTAATAATCTTGATTCTAGAAAACTTATGAGAGTTAAGGGATATCGATTTACCAACCAGAAACATCACTTCAGTTTGGCGGTTTGAGTGTTATAAGGAAACAGTAAATGTTTAAACGTAAGTGACTGCTTTCGGAAATGTCCTGGTACTTCTTGTGGGTATTTTTACATTCAGGTCAAAGGATTTGCATGCACCTGATTAACAACTGAGGAAACTTCATTTTCCCTTTAACCTATTTGGGTGCTTTTGTGGTGTTTCTTTTTCAGTTCTTTCCGTATGTTAACATCATCTTAATAGCATTAGTAAACACCTTTTCAGGAATTTTCAGCTAAAGCCTTTTAATTTAGTTACCTTTGGTTTAATTAATTTATGGCCAACATTTGCCACGTTCTGAATACTTGGCTTCGTTTAGTTGTACATATTAATGACTGTTGGCAAGGGCCTACAAGTGGTATGGGAATCAGGGAAAGGCTGACTCTGGTATTTCTCTGGGATTGATAAGTGCTGCCAACCTTTGCGGAGAAATGGTCAAAATGAAGCCCTGTCAAAATTTATTAGTACTGTCTTTGTTCCTTCAAACACTTGAACAGTTGTGATAATATTTAAGGAAAATAAAAGTTGAATTTCAGGTCTTGCCATTGCCATTAAAAACAAATTAGGAAACTTGGTTTTACGTGGGTACAAACTTGAATATTCAGTACCTGAGGCATCCGACCACTGTCACTGTGCCAAACCAAAGAGCAGCTACAGCTTAGTGGTCACTGAACTTGCACCGCTTACGTAGTGTAGTTTCATCTTTGCATATGGATGATTTTTTAAAATCCTTTGACATATTTAGTGGTTATGATCCAAAGTGTCATAAGTTAACTTAGTTTAAATCAAATATGCAATGTTTACTTGAATTTCTATTAATAGCAGATTTTGACTGTTTGTAGGATTTTCAGATTTTCAGTCATGTGAGATTTCCCTTCAGTCATCTTTAAAGCAGATGCATTTTAAGGGCTGTTAGGATCTGCATATTTGGGGCGCTGATAAGACAACTGACTTACAAATGTTTTGCTTACATTTTGTTCTAGGACTAGCACTGCTATCAATGGAAAGTATTTTTAACTAATCTGTTAGAGAAATTAACCATATTTTTGCATTTCAGCCAAAATAAAGATCGCATCATATTCTATAAGATACAGCTAATATGTAAATCTAAAATTCCTGTTTCTTATGATCTGAACTATATTTTCCAACTTAAATTAAAAATGCAAGATAGATTCAGCAAGGTCCATATTTTTCTAACGACTTCACTTTATATTATTTTGTTGAGTTGCATAAAGAAGCAAGGAATTGTATTTGTATTAAAAGCTTCAGAAAGCTGTTGAGTTTATCACATTTGTACATGACTGCAGGTTAGTCTATGCCCATTTACAGAAAAGGTGAACACTATTTTAAAGGGATCTTTAATATGTTTTTATATAAACAAATTTGAAATAGTTTACTTTGGTTGTTTTTACATATCATGTCCCGTAAATCTTGTATTTGTTTTTCATAAGTGTAACCCTGGACCATGACTTAATGTTATCTTCGCTTTGCCTTTTGGGTGGCCTAACCTACATTAACATGAAGGCTGAACATTTTAAAACTTGTTTTTTCCAAAAATCGTAATAATGATTACTTTATTAATAAATAAATAAAGTCCTGTATTTGGACAGCTGTTGTTGCTGTTGTTGTTGTTAGGGTATGACTGTTGCTTTAGTCACCTGGCAGGTGTGGCAAGGTACAGTGTTGCCTTGGGAAAGCGATGGGGCTGATCCTTCGGGCAACCACGGGGACTACCTGAGTGCGACGACACTGTGGTCTGCCTACGCCAGAGCACACACGGCTTTATCAAAAACGTTTTAATTTCGCTTTTATTGAACAATTTTCAATTGTCCCCTTCATCAAACCTAAGAACTTCCATTCTTTGAAAGCCATTCTGTGAAAAGAATGAAAAGTCGAACACTGGAAAAAGAATACCTGAAAAAGGACTCCTACCCAGAATACATAAATCATCCTTAAATTTCAATACTGAGGTGACAACCTGATTTTTTTTAAACAGACTATTTTGTCTGTCTGGTTTGTTTTTTGGCCGCGCCGCCTGGCTTAAAGGGTCTTAGTTCTTAGTTCCGGGGGAAGTCCCCCAAAATAGACGATGTCCAATTGTCCAATTTTTGGAGCAAATCTCACCAGAAACCGCTATTTTTAGGAGCGCGTTTAACTGGAAAAGTAGATTTTTTTCATGTCCGCTTAGGCAAGACCTGTCGGCAGAAGGTAAGCGAGCATGCACGGCAAAGCCCCCGGCAGAATCTCGCACCGAGGCCCAGATGCCAGAGCGCGGTCGGCAGCTTTATTGCGGCTGCGCGCAGGTTGCGTTCCGCATCCCGTAAGACGCAGGCGCCGTCCGGTTCCGTCCTCAGGACAAGAGAAGCGAGACGCGATCCGACCGAGACACACTGCGGGCGGTGGGGAGCGCGGGCCCGGGGCCTCCGTCGCAGGCACTCGCTCGGCTTGGCCGGGGCTCCGTGGGGCTCCGGCCAGAGGCTCCCGCTCGTCGCCGCAGGACGCAGGCGGCGTGGCGCGGGTCAGGACCACTTCCCGGTGATCTTGAGGTGGCCGAGCTGGTCCTCCAGCCGCCGGGGCGCGGGGAACTTGGACGCCTGCGCCGCCTTGAGCGCCTGGAAGGCGGCCGCCCGGCGGGCCGCCGCGTGGCCGCGCTCCTGCTCGGCCGTGAGGAAGGGCCGGCTCAGCCAGTAGTGGTTCTCCGCCTCGACCTCCAGGCGGCGGACCATGTTCTGCTTCGCCTGCGCCAACACGGGTCGCGGCCGCCGGTGCTTCCCGATCCACTGCCGGCCGGGGATGCGGCCGCGGCGCAGGAGCGCGGTCAGGAACATGGCGCCTGCCGAGGGCACAGAAGCGGGAGTCGGCAGCGCGCCGGCCACGGAGAGAAGGGAGAGGGGAGCCCCGCCGCCGCCCGCAGGCCAACCCAACTCGCGCCCCAACACTCACCAGCCGCGCCTCACGGCCGCTCTCCTCACGCCAGCACACGACGCCGGAAGCCGGAAGCCGCAAGCGCGCTTTCTCGACGCGCCGCCCGTCTCCTCGCGCGAGGCTTCAGCTCTCGCGAGAAGGGCCTTGCGCGAGTCGCGGAGCCAATGGCGTTTCCGGCGCCGGGATTCAAACGTGCGCGGGCGCTGAGGACGAGCGTCAGGCTCGTCCATGGATCTGATCCGGGGCTTCTGCGGGAAGCTGCGGTCTCTGGCCGTCATCCTGGACGGCGAGACGGCTCGGCTGCAGCGAGCGCTGGACGGAGAGGACAGCGGTGAGTGAGCCGCGTGAGGGACGCTGGCGCGCGCACTGGCCGACCGACAGGCGGCTGACTGTGAGGAGCCCTCCCGGGGAAGGCGGCGGCGCCCTTCGCCCCAGGCACCCCCGGGCCCGACCAGCGCTGCGCGCAGCCTCTGCCCCACCAGGGACGCGGGGCGGAGAAACAGCCGCACTTAGAAACCAAAGCCCTAATCGAGCCGGCAGGCTGGGCTCGCGATGCACGCGCTCATTTACACACGACGAGCTTTCAGATGCACGTAGTGGGGGCTTATCAAGAAAAATACGACCAAGAGAAGATGAAACGTTTCTTCTAACCGCAGCCGCTCAGCCCTGTTCTTGACATGTAGAGTGACTTTGGTCTCACCCAGATGGTCCACAGTTGCAGTGTCTGTATTTTTCCCAACAAACCGTACTGCCAAAACGAAAGCTAATACGCAGTACTGTTTTTTAAAATATAGATAAAGCAAAATTCTCCACCACTAACGTTTGTATTAAGAGACTTTTTGAAGTTGTTGCAAGAGTAGTGCAGATTTTGAGATTATTTTGTGCGTCATAACTGTAATCCGCCTTAAAATATCGCATCCTGTAGACGCAGACTCATTTTCCTTTAACTATATTATGAATAGTTTTCCAGCCATTTAAAAATGTTTATGCTTGTGCCTGTGAAAGCAATATTATGTGCACGGCAAAAAATTTGAGGTAACAGAGAAGTAGAAAGAAGAAAATAAGTCTTTGCTATAACTTCACCGTCAGAACACACAGCTATTAATAGTTCAGTAGCTTTTCTACCATCCTTACTTTTAGCGTTGCCTTGTTTTGCTTGACTTTGTTTACGTAGTTGAGATAACGCTATAAGACACAAAACTGTATTAATGGTTTTGGAATTTTTAGACATAGCTGAATAGTTTTCCATAAAGCTTTTGCTAATTTACCTCCTTACCAATCTATTGCCTGGTTACACACATTCTTTCTTTTCTTTTGGTTTTACAAGAAAAAGTTGGAATAATTTTTTCAGTTCCTGGCCTGCATGTATTACAGAAAATATGGAATTGTGATAATTAGAGAAAATGAACATCCCCTAAATTCGCCTTCTATGATCACAGTTATGAATCTCATAAAATTCACCATGTTAAAGGATACAATTCAGTGGTTTTCAGTATCTTCACAGAGGTGTGCAACCATCATCACACTGAGTTTAGATTTTCATAACCCCCCGAAACAAACCCCGGTGACTGTTGACAGCCAGTCCCCGGAATCTTGTTCCCACCTACCGCACTGCTTTATGCGGCCGCTAATCTACTTTCAGTCTCTCTGGATCTGCCTATTCCGGACATCTCCTATAAATGGAATTGTACAATCTGTAGTCTTTTGTGACTGACATTTCACTTAGTGAAGCGTTGCAAGGTTCATCCCTGTCACGGTAGCATGTATCAGTATTTCATTACATTTTATTGCTGAATAATGTTTCATTGTATGGATTTACCACATTTTGTTTATCCATCAGTTGATGAACATTTGGGTCGTTTCTACTTTGGCTATTATGACTAATGCTGTTGTAAACACCCGTGTGCCAACGCTTTATGTGAACGTAATGTCTTCAGTTCTCTTTGGTATGCATTTAGAAGCGGAATTGCTGGGTCATATGGTAAATCTGTGTTTAACTTTTTGAGGAACGACCAAATTGTTTACCAAAGTGCACCACTGTACATTTCCTCCAGCAGTGAATGAGGGATGCAGTTTCTCCACTTCCTCATCAACATTTGTTATTGTCTGTCTTTTTTTTTTTTTTTTTTTTTGCGGTACGCGGGCCTCTCACTGCTGTGGCCTCTCCCGTTGCGGAGCACAGGCTCCCGACGCGCAGGCTCAGCGGCCATGGCTCACGGGCCCAGCCGCTCCGCGGCATGTGGGATCTTCCCGGACCGGGGCACGAACTCGTGTCCCCTGCATCGGCAGGTGGACTCTCAACCACTGCGCCACCAGGGAAGGCCTATTGTCTTTCTTTTTAATTATAGTCATTCTAGTGGTATGAAATACAATATCATTGTGTTGTTGATTTGCATTTTCCTATGAAAATTGGTCAGCTCTTTTTTTTATACAGCAGGTTCTTATTAGTTATCCATTTTATACATATTAGTGTATATATGTCAATCCCAATCTCCCAATTCATTCCACCACCACCACCACCCACCCTCACTTTCCCCCATTGGCGTCCATACATTTGTTCTCTACATCTGCGTGTATTTCTGCCCTGCAAACCGGTTCATCTGTACCATTTTTCTAGATTACACATATATGCGTTAATCTACGATAGTTGTTTTTCTCTTTCTGACTTACTTCACTCTGTATGACAGTCTCTAGGTCCATCCACATCTCTACAAATGTGAAAACTGATCAACTTTTAACGGGTGGAAGGAGATAGTCTTGAAAGGAGGCATATTTTAGAAAAGAGAAATCTTTTTAAAAACTGCTTCTATGTTAGGTATATGACCGACTGATTAATAAGAAAGGTGATGGTACAGTGGATAAAGGATGTCTTTTCAGTACCAGGTCAATTGCACACTCATATGGAAAAAAAAGAATGGATCTTGATCCTTACCTCTTGCCATACACAAAAATCAATTCCTGATGGATTGTAGCTCTAAATGCAAAAGGCCAGGACTTCCCTGGTGGTGCAGTGGTTAAGAATCCACCTGCCAATGCGGGAGACACGGGTTCGAGCCCTGGTCCCACAAGATCCTACATGCTGTGGAGCAACTAAGCCCATGCACTGCAGCTCCTGAGCCCACGTGGCACAACTACTGAAGCCCGCGTGCCTAGAGCCCATGCTCTGCAACAAAAGAAGCCACTGCAATGAGAAGCCCGCACACCTCAATGAAGAGTAGCCCCTGCTCGCCACAACTAGAGAAAGCCTGCGTGCAGCAACGAAGACCCAATGCAGCCAAAAATTAATTAATTAATTTAATTAATGCAAAAGGCCAAACAATAAAGCTTTTAGAAGAAAACAAAAGCATTGTCACTGGCAAAGATTTTAAAAATAGGAACCAAAACGTGCTCACCATAAATGAAAAACAGCTAAGTAGGACTACATTCCCTCTTCCTTCCTCCAGTCCCTGATCTGAGTGCTGATTACATAGGTATGTTCACTTTGAAAGTTCATCAAACTATATACTTATGATTTCTATACTTCTCTGTATGTATGTTATAGTTTAATAAAAATTTTAAAGAAAAGTCTTAACACTTTTCTTTGCAAATGACAGGATATAAATTATAAATAAGTATCTACAAGGATTTTGTAATTCTAAATAACTATACTAAATTACATTTTCTTTCTTTTTCCTTGTTATACTCTTTTCTTTCAATATTCATATTGAAGACTTTGAAGATTATCCAATGAGAGTTTTACATGACCTTCATTCAGAAGTCCGGACTCTAAAGGTATCAATCCTACAATATTAATTTATCATTTTTATGCGGTAATTTAAAAAAACTAAATAGGCTTAGTCAAAAGTTAAATTGTACTTTCTTTCCTCATAAAAGGATAATGTCAATATTCTTCTTGATGAAGCAAGCTTGGAAAGTCAAGAAAGCATTGGTTTCATAAAGGCAACAAAAGTACTGATGAAAAAAAATTCAATGGATATCATGAAAATAAGAGAGTTTTTCCAGAAGTATGGATATAATCCACGTGCCAAGGAAAATTCAGGTGTGAATGACTTGCATTTTATAGCATTTGTTTTAGTATTAAAGAAAGAAGGCAGCACGATTAAGACTACTATAGGCTTGGCCATTGTTTCTAGTTCTGACTCTGCCATTATATGATAGTCCTTTGATCATTTATTCAGCAATCACTGTGTTCTAGATGCAGTGCTGATCAGTGGTACAATATAAAGACAGTCCTTGCTCTCCTTTGCAAATGCTAGATGAGAACCAACACAGCGCTAGATGAAAGAAGGGTACCAGATAAATCTACGTCACTTGAGGATAGTTGTTTCTGGTCAGCTCTGCCAGTAAACGGCTGAGAGACCAACCTTAAGGCATGCTATTTCACTTTTCTCGTTCTCAGTTTCTTCTTCCATAGAATGAGAGATTTTTGGCTATATAAATTCGTAAAGTCCTTTTTAGTTCTAAAATTCTAATGAAGGGTAGGATAGCATGATGGTTTAGAATTTAGAGTCAAACTGCCTGAGTTCAAATCTCTAATTTCACCACTTACTAGCTGTATTAATCTTTGACCAGTTACTTAACTTTGTACCTCACTTTCTCACCTATAAATGAGAGAATTTTTTTTTGTTTTTGGCCGCGCCACGTGGCTTGCAGTATCTTAGTTCCCCGACCAGGAACTGAGCCCAGGACCACGGCAGTGAAAGCACCAAGTCCTAACCACTGGACCAACAGGGAAGTCCTATAAAGTAGATATGTTTAATAGTATCTACCTCTGAGGCTGTATAAGGATTAAATGAGATAAAATTTGCTTAGAACAGTACCTTGTATGCTAATCACCCATTGTTAACTATTATTATTGTTATACCCATAACTGTGAGTAACTAATTTCAATATGCTTCAGTGTCTTCATTTCTGCTATGAGAGTCTTTGTACATAAATAAAACATTAATTAGATTCAACAAATATGTATATATCAAGGATATATATGAAGGTATATTAAATAATCCACATGGTATAATGGAAAGAATTCAGTTGACTTTGGTGTGGACAGGTTGACTTTGGTTACTCAGAAAATGGTTCCACCAGTTACTACATGTGTGACCCTGGATAATTTCTCTAAATTGCTTTTCCTCACTAGTGAACTAGAGATGTTAATACCTCCCTAAGAGGTAGTAATAATGGTGATAACTTTATTTTATTAAACTCATCAGTGACAGCCTTGTAATAAATTCAACAATAGGTTTTTTGGTAGTTCTTGTAACATTTCTCAAAATTAACAGAAAGCACAATGCCAAAACAGCTCTGAATCAGCAGCTCTTCCAAGGGCCAAAAGCCACGAAATCAAAGGTTATAACTTTTTTTTTTAATGGTACATCCTTCATATTTAACATGTCGTGGCTTATCATGCACAAAAAAACAATATCCTATCCTAGTTCATTTCGGTTGCCAATCAAAACAAGGAAAGTAATATCTTCATAGAAAAAGTGTGTACCTCTTCACCTCCTTCAAGCCTTCACTTCCTTCAATCTGTAATGACTCCTAAAAAATAAAAAAGTATAAGTATTTTCTTTTTAATATTTATTTATTTGGCTCATTGGTCTTAGTTGCAGCGTGTGGGATCTAGCTTCCTGACCAGGGATCAAACCCAGGCTCCCTGCACTGGGAGCACAGAGTCGTAGCCACTGGACCACCAGGGAAGTCCC